TTGGGAGGCAGGCCAGTCCTTGCCCACAGACAACCTGCCAACCAGAAGCATATTCTCGCCAGCAACTACACACCGCACCATAATAACTCGAACTCAGGAACCAATCCTTGCAACAAACCTCGGTGCCAACTCTGCCCACATATATACACCAGCAACACCATCACAGGACCTAACCAGATCAGCCATACTGTCACTGGTACATTCTCCTGCACATCCACCAACGTAATATATGCCATCATGTGCCAACAATGCCCCACTGCTATATACATCGGCCAAACTGGACAGTCCCTACGTAAAAGAATCAATGGACACAAATCAGATATTAGGAATGGCAACATACAAAAACCTGTAGGGGAACACTTCAATCTCCCTGGACACACAATTGCAAATCTAAAGGTAGCCATCCTGCAGCAAAAAAACTTCAGGACCAGACTTCAAAGAGAAACTGCTGAGCTACAGTTCATCTTCAAGTTTGACACAATCAACTCAGGATTAAACAAAGACTGTGAATGGCTAACTACGAAAGTAGCTTCTCCTCTCTTGCTATTCACACCTCCAGATCAGCTACTAGAAGTGGGCCTCGTCCTCCCTGATTGGATCCACCTTGTCATCTCTAGCCGGATTCTGGCCTGCATATTTATACCTGCCTCTAGAAATTTCCACTACATGCATCTGACGAAATGGGTCTTTGCCCATGAAAGCTTATGCTCCAACACTTCGGTTAGTCTATAAGGTGCCACAGGACTCCTCGCCACTTTTGAGGAGTTCCTATGTCACGTAAGTGCTTTTTAAAATGTCAGCCCTCATCTACACACAAACTTGCATTGTGTTAAATTCAGGTTTGGTTTTACACCCATTTAGTTAAGCCCGGGGTAAATTTTAAGAATGGATTATGTCAATTTAGCTTAACCAGGTTAAAAAAAAATGAGGTTTTTACTCTGGTTTAGCTGAAAAGATCTCAAAACTCACCTTTCATTAAAAGGGTGCAACTTTACATGTAGATAAGATCTGAGAAAGATAGTTCAGGAGCGAGGACAAGAGTTGCCACAGTGAGTACCAGGCCATTAAATATACAGGGCCTAATCCCAGTCTCACCAAAGCTATTGGCAATTTGACCATTGATTTCACTGGGTATGGGGGGGGTCAGGATTTTGACTACATACTTTAAAATGCCTTTTGTTGTTGTTAGTTACAGAAAAGGTATGGCAACGGCAATTGTCATTCTAATCATTAGCAGTAGCAGTGGTAGGTGTATTACTCAGCCAACTTCATTTTGAATGGGACTCACTCCCCTCACCCCCCCCGCTTCCACTGGCTTCATTTTAGCTATACTCACGCAGGGCTTGTGAGACTGATGGGTCCTGCTGCTTTTCATGGTTTTGGAATTACCTTCATACACTTCTGAATTCATAACACCCCTTATAAAACTCCATCTTAAAGCCCACAGGAGAAAGACATTCTGTCTCCTGATAGAAAATGGCTTCATTAAAAAAGATTAATTATTTTTATCCCTATGATCCTTTAAAACAGAAAAGGGAGCAGTAAGTGGGGTAGTAATTAAGTTTTATGTTCAGCTAGATGACTTAGGTGGTATTTATATACTTCTGTAGAGCCCCTTAAAGCTCTAAAATTACTACAATGTTTGTCTGACACACATGAACCTGTCAGAGCATTTTGACTGAGACTACAGCCTAAGGTAATTCATTGGACTCATTAAGTCCCTGTTTAACAGAGCTATGAATTCCAATCCCAATCTGATTAATTTTCACTTACAGTTTGCTGAAGTCTCCTTGTATCTCAAACATTCTCCCAAAACTCTCTCCATTCTTCTTCCTACCCCCTCCTTTCACACTGTCTGCTTCCTATCCCTATCCACAACCCCACCACTTGGCCATCCATGCCAACTCTTTCTTTTCTGCAGCTTCTGCTGTTCAGATCAACTTTCTCTATATCTCAATAATTCTCCATTTATGACTATATGACATTTATGACAAATCTCAGCTAAAAATAATATATTTTCTCTCTACACCCCTTCATCTCTCCATCTCCCATATTTATAAACAGGTGTGGCAATAGCTGGTCCAGTTTAGGTTACATAGTAGATTTCATGCTAAACCCCAGTATTTTTGGTTATTCAGAAAGCTTTCACCTTTCTGACTGACATTTGCCAGGCTTTGTCTCTGCTTGAAGTTTTTTTATTTATTTTAAAGTTTAAACAAAAACAATTCAGCCATTTCTGAGGGCAAAGTGAACAAAGAATTTATCTGTGACCTTTTTAATATAGAGATCTATGATGAAAAATCTGGGAGCTGAAAGGAAATAGGCTGCTCCAAGAAAACACGCCCAGGAGAGTTTGGGGGACAGTAAGTTATCATTTAACTAAGGTATGAAAACTCTGTTTAGCTGATGCAGCATGATCTTTTCACTAAGTTTAAAATGCACATATAAGTCAGTAGTCATGTTCTATGGAATCTAAGGACTTTCAAAAGCACTCAGCATTGACCTAACTACTCCCACTGAAACTTATGGGAAACTACCCCTGATTTCAGTGAGACTAAGTTAGGTTTTCATGGAGCACTTTTGAAAACCCCACCTTCTATGTGCAACCAGTATCCACACAGTTTTTCTTAGGCACAAGGCAGAGAATGAAGCAATTAACCACCAAAGCTAAGCTAATTATGAATGTAGATGGTCTTTATATAGCAACAAATTTTCAGTATTCCTTTGCCTTGTTACACGCTAATCTCCAGTATCTCCACTTACTGCATATCTTTTACTTAAATGACTTCCTGATACTCTTTGTCTGGCATACAATGTAGCATACAGCACTAGCGCATGCAACACACTGTTGTATCAAAGGTCATGGGAGAAATTCATCAAGCAGTTACAAGATTGCACTGGAATGCTAGGCACAAAGTTATGGTCGAGTGTACCTTTGAATGTCTAACTGTGCAACTTTAACATTAAGTAGAGCTGGTCAAAAAGGGATAAATTATTTAATGAAAAAACTAAAAATTTGGAAGTTATTTTATGTTGTATGGTTTAAAATGGGCTATTTTTTGTTAAAAATTATCAATTTTTTATCAAAATAATTATTCGCTTTTTCTGTCTACTACCTGGACTTTGCTAAACAAAAATGTTGATAATGACTGCAATCTTCTAAAATCATCAATAAAATTACAGAGCATTTAATAAAAAAGGAGAAATGAATATCATACCACAAAACCCCATTCTTGATTTTAAAAACTTTTGCATTAACAATGTAGGCCTGCTCTTTTGTTACATTTTCTTTAAC